AACGATTCTATTGTATCTCTAATTAAGTGTATTATTAGAGTGTATTAGTAGAGTATTTATTACGCTTTGCAAAATTATGCAACTCTGATTTTCTTTTTTTTTATACGTATTACTACTGTATGTAGATCACATTGATTGCTGATTACTATGATTACTAGAGTACCACAATCTTTATCATTTTTTTGAATTACCCTAGTAATAATAGTAATCAGAATGATTGTAGTAATATGATAAAAGAAAAAAAAATTGGAGTCGCATAATTTTGCAAAGTGCAATAATAGAGTATATAGAAATAGTCGTAGATACTTGACATTTGGATAATTATGGGGTCATAAAGGAAAAAGTTATTAAAGGAAAAAGAAATGGATTTTTTGTTTTCTCATCTTTTTCTTTGCTGCAAGCTCGACAAACTTGTTTCAGGCAGTTAAAATGTGGTAGCTAGTGATCCTGGTCAATAGTGAAAAAATCAGTTGATCGATTTTATTAATACTATAATATGATTATAACATTTCTAAAAGTTCCGAAGTGGGAAATGAACAAATTTAATAATTTTCAAAGGATTCCGAAATTTTTTTAAAAAAATCGACTAAACCGGTTGAAAATTTTTGATCACTGGGATCACTAGTGGTAGCCCAACTGGACATGTTGGATGCCAAATGATAGCATGATAACCTGGCTGAACAAACCGAATATCATGTAAAGGTTTAGTAAAATATAAAGATAGAGGTAATGAAGAAAAATTTAAAAAAAAAAAAAAAAGAAGAGAAGAAAACGAAAAAGAACGATTCTAGAAAACAACTGGTAACCACGTGAAGCAGCGAGGCGATATTCCATTTGTGTATTTCAAAGGATTGATTGCTTAATTATTTGGGATAGAGTGACAAATTAACAAATGATATATTCTCTGTACATCAAATTATTAGAGCTTGTAAGTTATAGTAAATAGTATAAATGAGGAAATGAATACAGTATTTACAACTAAATTCATACTGTATTTGCGCGAATAACGCGCACCTGTGTGTTATTTTGAAGAGATGCGTGTTATTTCGAAACCGACTATGTTATTACTAATATGTTATTTTAAGAGAATGCGATTTTCAAAATAAGAAGCCCCAACCCGGAATGATTAAGTTTTTAGGTCAGTAAATACCATCGATTTTTGTATTTGCACTAAAGTGCTTGAGTAAAATTAATCATACCAATACTATGTAAAATGTTTCGTTAATAGATAAAAAATTCGTCAGAAATCACGTGTAACGTAATAATAAAAAACAATCGAACAAACCAAAAAAAATTTAAGTGTAAAAATCTTACGGTATTACGAATAGTAGTGATGTATGGTGTAGTAAAGTAGTGGTATATACTACAAAAATTGCATTTAAGAATATAAGACTAGCATACTATCTATACTCAGATAATATATATATATTATGAGTATAGTATGGTCGTAATAATTTAATTGTGTGACCTTCGTTGAAAATTCAAATACTTGAGGGGAGGGTGTGACCAATTGTCGTGAGACGAATAAGAATTGGCTATATATTTTATATAACCAATTCTTATTCGTCACGTACATAATTGGTCACCCCTCAAGTTACGTAGAAATTTATTTATCATATGGTTAACAAAAATAAAGATTTTTATGGCATCGCTCTTAAAAAATTAAGTTTTTTTTACGGGATTGTACGAATTGCTCTCACAAATTTTATACGGGATTTTACATGTTGTTTTAAAGTTTTACGAGCACTTTCTTAAGCAGTTAAATTCTTAGTAAGAAATATTTTCGAATTTTCTAATATATATTGGTATTAAAATTTTCATTATAATAATCATTTTCTATAAAAAAAATTTTTTCCTGAAATCGTTATTAAAACTATCACAAAGAATTGATAAAATAAAATTTGTAAAGACGATTTAAAAAAAGAGAAAAATAATTGCTACGATCGGTCATTTTAGACTTTAGCTGTTTTCATGTATAGGGTGTGAGTAGAGGTCGGAACCGAATTATGAAATTCAACTTCAACTTCGGGTTAAACCGGTTTAAATAGTAAATCGTTTTGTAATGTTCTAATTCGGTTGTAACCCTCCGACAAACCGGTTTTTAAATTAGCATTCGGTTTTATTTATTTTCTATCAAATTTCGAAATTACGTGTTAATAACAATATATCCAATGTAACAAAAAAAATAATTTCAGGTTTTTCTTTTCGGCAAAATATTTATCCGACGATTCGAGTTAAATTCGGTTTAAGCCAATCCGGTCAACATAAATCGATTTTTTTCATAATCGTATTTAAACAATTCGGTTTTTAAATTTTACAACCGATTCCGACCTCTAGGTGTGAGCAATCATTTTGTGACTTATTTTACATAGAAAATGCTTATTCATCATTCATGATTGGTCACACCCTCAAATATTGAATCAAATATTTGAGGGTGTGGCCAATCATGAGTGACGAATAAGAATTTTCTATGTAAAATATATAGCAAATGATTATTCGTCACAAAATGATTGCTCACACCCTTCTTAAGTTTTCTTTAGCGTCGCATTTGCATAAATTTTATAATCATACTATACACTTCAATACTCAGTTGTGACATCACCAACCATACACACGTGTTTGCTTGTTTAATGTATTATACACCACTACTTTACTTTACCATACACCACTACTATTTGTATTACTCAAAATCTTAGGGTTAGGTAGAGTTCAGATCGGTTTACGTGAATTAAGCAAAAAATTCCGCTGCTTTTTTTCTTCCGTAACTCCCCGACTGACCTGCTCGTAATTTATGTTAAGTCACATATCTGTTTTTTCGAAATCCTCCGACTGTCATTCTTGTAATTTATGTTAAGTCACTATCTACTTTTCAGAAATCCTCCGATACCAATATGACTATCAAGCATCTTCATATAAAAATTACAATTTATGCTTATTTCTGCGCTAAAATGATTAATTTAATAACGCGTAAAATAATTAATTAAATAACGCGTAAAATAATTAATTAAATAACGCGTAAAATGTTTAATTTAATAACGCGTTCTTCTGATTAATTTTGAGTTTTTCCTTTCCGAAAAATGGTCACTTCGCCATTATGCTACAATAATTATTGATAATTTTAAATTCACTGATTAAATGAAAGCACATACTAATATTTTATACTACTTTACAAAATATCAATAATTATTTATCATACCTCAAGAAGTTCGTAGACATTGCTCAAAACCTTATAAAGAAGGTAAGTTATTAAGAATAATTAATTTGAATAGGATGGGGCTTATAGTCAGGTTCTTGTATCTATTAAATTCATTTTAATAAGTTTGGATTAATTACTTACTCTTGCAAGTACTGAATTAGTTGTTTTATTAAATTCGTTTTAGTAGACATTATAGAATTTTCTAATATAAATTTTTGATAAAGATCAAGGTTTACTGATTCTAAAAGAGGAATCTTTCTTTATATTAACAAAAATTTAATTGTTGGTTTATTCCATCTTATCTTATTTTTTGTTTAAATATGCTTACTCTAAAAATATTTCTCATACAGTTTCACTTTATATAGGATGACATCAATAAAATTAATAGCTTTTGGAATAAAGCTATCAAAACTAAAAAGATATTACAATCGCCATCATTATCATCATTGTTATCAAAAGTGCTATAGATATAATAGACACTTTGTCGAAAAAGAAGATCTGGAATAAGAATCATTAAAAAAACTTTTTATATAAAATAATTTTTTGTGAAAACCCTGAAGAAATTTCTAAAAATATAGATTTGCAAGAACATGTAATTTGTTGTAATTATATTTATCCAAACCTTCAAGAGTCAATTCTGTTTTCTTGATGTAGATGTACCTTTGCAAGCCAATAAATTTAGTAAACAGTCTCAAAGTATTAAAGTTAACTGTCCGAATATTTGACAAAACACAATATTGGCCATGCAAAAAGCTACAGGAAAAGGGATTAAATGTTGTACATTTCTGGCACGACAAAGATCTCATGAATGTTCTGAATGAGTTCTCAGTCACTAGATAACTTTCAAGAAACCATAGATGAACAAGCAAAGATCTCATGATGTCCAATTGAGTTCTCGGTCACTAGATATCTCTCAAGAAATCATAGATGAACAAGTCCTTCCTTGATTTTTTTTTTTTTTTTTTTTTTTTTTTTTTTTTTTTTTTTAATACCTTCCTTGATTTATAATGCATTTTAATAGAGTTTCGCCTGGTTTTGTCTCTTATTTTTTTTAACCATGCGTATGCATATATTTAGGTGTTATTTGTATATAAGTTGTTAGGCGAAATCTAAGTTTCGTCATGACAAAAGGCAGAAACCTAGTTTCGCCTTTCGCCAAAAAAAAAAAAAAAAAAAAATTGAAATGGCGAAACGGCGAAACAGACGAAACTAAAAAAAAGGTGGTAAAGGTGGGAAATTAGTAACAGTTGGAAAAACTAACAAAAGTGGCGAAACTAACAAAAGATAGTAAAATTATTAAAAGGTAGCAAAACTATATAAAATAATAAAATTATAATGAAAAGTTGATAGCAATAAAAGCTATAAATAATATTTTTTATCAAAATAGAAGCAGCGCCCAATTTTTATTAAACTTTTAGCAAAAATTTCACCAATTATCTGATTAAATTCAGTGAATTTTTTTATTTGAAATCTATATATTCGTGGAATTCATATATTTAAATATCTAAAATCATTTAATTTTGTTAGATTACTGATTGCTACGATTTTTTTATTTATATGAAAAATATTATTAAAATAATTTTCATAATAGTTTTATAATGCTGTAGACGTATCGGTATGTATACCAGTAATTATAAAAATATTTCAAATAATAATACATACCTGGTTCTATTTAATGAATTATTTGGGACGTTCCAAACTGTGATGAATAGTAATAGTTTCGAAAATAACAATAACGCAGTAGATATCTAATGTAATATTATCATCATATAGTTCGGGATATTCAAATAGTCTGATTGATACGCTAGTCCTCTTGTCTAATAACCATAGTCCTTTGAACAATTACAATAAATTTCATTAGATACTGACGCTTGGACAATTATGTCGCACTTCTTTATGAGTGAAGTCCGGATGCATATATATCCATGAATAGATGATGGACCGCTGTCCATTACCCCTACCTCATTCCTTCTACAATTTCTTCTTCATTATTAGAGTGGGATGATGATGCTGAATGGTGCCCTTCTTTGCTTGTATGCATTTCGTCTTGTGTATGTGAATGCTATAGATCCTTTTAGTGCTGAATGACTTTGGCTCAAAAACTCGATTATATAATTAATTATAACTTACAGACTCAACAGCAATTCCATTAGTAAATAT